TCCCAGAAACTGGGGTGTCTCAGCCCTGCAGCTTCACCCCGGGAATTCCTGATGAGCTCCTGAAGAGCTGAGAGTTGTGACATTATCTCACAGGGCAGTAGATGAACACACTCTTACTCTGCTCTTTCCACACAAAGAATAGTGCCAGGCAGTGGGGGCAGCACACAGGATAGAAGTGAAGCCATTCTTAGGTTCCCAAGTTTCTCAGACAAACCTAAGGAACTTTTTCTCCACTCAATTTTGAGTTCCATGGCCTTGAGCTCAGCCTCAAGGGTTAGAGTCACCCACCCAACTGGAATGGTTGAACACCAGGGACAGCTGGCTCTCAAGCCTGAGCTTTATAACCAATATTGTGATTTTACAGAGATTTATAGTCCTAACATACTTGTCTTCTGTGTTTGCAACACTGCTAACACAAGAATTGGCTTATATTATCAATGAGCCTTTTTTTTTGCCCTATTACAACAAAGAAACCTCCTCATACCTTCTGGACAGAAACCCTGTTGCTTTCAAAAGGAGTTTCTCCTTCTCATATCAGGACAGGAAGCATGTGGAAGGGAAGATTCTTCCACTACATCTGTATTTCAATACATCAGAATTCCAAAGCTTGGGATAAATGACAGCTGCTGTCATTTGGTTGCCCAGCTTTAAAAACAGGATTTTCAACAGGGATAAACAAAGTTTCTTACAGCTGTGAGCCAATAGTGTGCACATCACACTGATGAGGATCTCCCTTCCCTCCCTCTTGGAAAATCACCCATTCCTGCAAGTTTTTACTTTGATCACAAAGAAATGATCTCCACAACAAGCTCTGTCCCTCAAGCCTTTGACCAAAAAAAAAAAAAATTCCTTCTCTTCCTGTTCTTTTTGCTCAATGGAATTTCACCTGGAATAGTTCATTTCTAAAATCTGTGGCTTTGAAGAGGCAAACACCTTTTCCTGCTCAGATTTCTGCATTACCAGAGAACTCTCCAGGATCAGATTGCTTCTCTTCCTCTGAATTTCCATTTGTTCTTTACTCAGAACACTTTTTGTAGCCTCAGGCTCCTTTGCAAGTTCCAACATTTTCAAAAACCTTACAAAACATCCACCAGAAGACATCCTCATCATGCAGATGAGTTATGAGAGTCAAAGCTTTCAGCTTGCTTTTGGTTTTCAGGGAAACCACACATGGTGTGCTAATAATGTAGATTCAAGCCTTGACAGTTACAGCATCTTTTTCCTAAATTATCTTTCTCTTCTCATTTGGGATCATATTGCAAAGAGAATTTTAGCCCAAAGTAATAACAGAAAACAAAACTTATTTATTGTGTTTCAGGTGTGCAAAGGTCCAAAGTTAAATCTTTATAGCATTCGTCCCTCCAGTCAGTGGCTTCATTGTAATATCCAAAAATCAGAGGAAATAAATTGATTTTAAGGACCCAAAGCAGCAGAAGTAGGATTAAAATTTCAAGCTGCTTAATTTTTATGATAAAAAATATTCCAGTCAGAAAAATTGATATAAAATCTCAAGTATTTTGCCAGACATTTCCCCCTCCATAAAAATAATGTTTTTCTTTGAGAAGTACTAAATTTTTGGCCCAAACCAACCTAAAAAAAAAAAAAAAATCAAAATTTTTGTTTCTCCTGATGTTCAAGGTGGCCCAGCTAAAAAGTCTGAATTATACCCTGGGCTTGAGAGGGGCTGCAGAGGGCAGTGACCAAATTTTGAGAGTTTCCCTCGATACAATGTTTTTATTTCACTGAGAAAAATTATGGTTAAGTTTCTCTCATTTTCCCCAAATTAAGCTTTCAATAGAATTTTTTTGTTAAGAGTGAAATTCTTTTCATTGTCATCAGAATTTGGGGGATTGAGACAGAAGGAGGCCACTAAAGGGATGAATATTTTCCAAGCAGCTGTACTCCCTGTGGCATGTGCCCTCTATCTAGACATTTTGTGAATTATTCTTGTAAACACTGCTGCAAAGTCAGAGAAACTGTGCATAGTAGAATTTTTTAAATTTAATTTCACGTTTAATACACAAAACATTCAAGGAAACATGAAGAGTGCATTCATTATTCCATTTCTGTTAAGAAACCTGCCAAAAACTGCTGCAAAACAGTAGCATTTTTCAGAAGAAAACCCCATTATTTTAGTTAGATTAACAATTTAGGCCTGACATTAATTTCATTGATGTGCCCTCACTTGCAAAGCTCTGAAGAGGAAAAAAAAAAAAAAACATTTGTCCTTTTCCATTAAAAGGCAGGAATGCCCTGAGAGCAATGAGATGATATTGCAGTGGTGAGCACCACAGAATTGCCTATAAATAAACTCAAATACATTTTTCTGGAACGTTTACAGTGGAGGAACAGATCACATGCTTCTTTTCCTAACCAGAGCACACTGCAGTGAGTGATTTAATGCAGATTTCAGTCAACATTTACTCCTGCAAGGTAAGAGGGAATTTCCTTGACTTAAACCCCCAGGATTTTTGGTGTTTGTCCAGGAATTATTTGAAGCACAATGCCAGTGATACCATGGACTGTGAGGTCTGAGAATTGAAAAGCAGAGGCCAAAATTCAAGTAAAAAAAAAAACCCCCACCCAATTACTTTGAGGCCCCCATCACAAAAATATATAAATCTGCAAATGGCCCTTGTTGCATTCTGACAATCAGGTTTCTAGAAGCTGTTTTGCTCCTCAAATAGATCAATGTATTCTTCCAATAATTATTTCAATACTATCACAACCCACTAGTAGTTTTTTCCCCCCCATAGAAAAACTGAATTTTCATGTCCTCTCTCACATTCCTGCAGATTTAAAGCCCACTGCATTTAAAGTTAAATTAACTGGCACCATTTAAGTCACAGTAAAACTACTCAGCTTGAAGAGTGAGGATTTCCCACAACAGCACTCTACACAGAATAACTTCAACTGAAAAAAAAGTGAAAAAATCAACCACAAAGGGATACTGCATCATCTGATTCGTTGTAGTAAATGCATAGAAAAAAAGAATATTTTTTTATTATGCTTTTTGGGATGACTTCCAGGTTCCAATTTTTGTATCCTGGCAATTGCCACTTGCATGACACTGCAAAGCCAAAAACACCACAACAAAAAAAAGTCACGTCACTCTACATGGTGGAAACAATTCTATACAAATTAAAATAAAAGGAAAATGCCATTGATTAAGGAACCATTTCTTCCCAATGGAAGGTGGGTATATTGAGACTTCAAAAAACTGCTTCATATTTAATTTTTCTACACTTTTGGTTATTTATGGCTGTCATGTTAATAAGAGATACATCATTCCAGCACCATCCTAAAAAAATCATGTGTTTCAAAAACCCACTGTCCCAGTAAGGCTCTGAACATTTCAAATTTCCATTTCCACTATATCTGCAGCACTATTCTAATTCACAGATAGACCACTATTACCTTATCTTTGTTATTCATACCTTAAATATTAAAGCTGAAAGAATAAATTCTTACATTCTCATGGTATTTGTTTTGCTTCTGCACTTCCTCTGGTTTGGACAATTCCAAGAGCTGAGTTTTATTTTGTTTCCCAGGTCTGTTTCACTTTAGGGGCATATTAATTTTTGTCAGTGTTTCCAGTGAAAGAATTCAAGAACTATTTCTAGAGAGTGGGCCACATTCCATTAAAGCCAGTAGAGAAAGACTCACACACAACTTGGAGGGGACCCATCAAATCCTTTAATTTCCTGTTTTCCTTTTGTTTAACCTTCAATTGTTCTGGAATCCAAATATGTCAGTTAAAATGATAAATTAGCATGAATATTAGAAATGGACTTCTCCCAAAACTTTGTTTGAATACTCCAATACCATGAGGGACATCAGATCTCAGCCTCAATTATGGAATTCATTTTCCCACCAGCACTACAATCAACTGAATTAAAATCCCTAAAGTCAAACATTAGGCTTGGGTTCTGTATTTAATTACAGTATGTGCCATACAGAAGTATTGCTGCTTAATTTGGCATAGAATACAACTTACAGGCACATCAGTAGTAAAATACTCTGCAGCTCTCACATACCTTTGAGGGTTGAAATTTGAATACAAAATAATAGAAGGAGGTATTTTGAGGGAGCAGCTTCAGAGAACTTGCAGAATTCTTGAGTCTGGGCAGTTGTGTGGATCCTTGTCACTCCTCATGCTGTTGATGATCATCACCACCTTGCCAAATGAACAATTAGCAGAAACACAGACCTTGCAAAATAGCTCTCAACCCTGTGTTTTAGACAGGTAAGCCAGAAGCTACATGGTTTTGCATCTCTAGAAGAGAACATTTGGTTGAGTACACAGCCTAGATTTTCAGATAAAGAAATATCAGACACTTGTAGGTGCCATTCGTACTTTTTGCCTTAAGGATTTTTTTCCCCAGGCATTTTTTCAGTATTTCTTTGGCATCATTAATATCAACCAAAGATTATAGTGAAATATGACTACCAGCTTTTAGATGTTTCTTATGACCTTTTACATAACTATGTGGCCTCAGTTATGAGATCACATGTGGCTAACATCTAAAAATGTAGGGTTTTCTTCTTTAGAGCTTATTCATATGACAATTAATGAATTGTAGAAATGCTAAGCCTATCTCATTTGCTGCAAAGCTATTCCTCTTGGGGGGAAAAAAAAAATTAAAAAAGCATCCTGGCTTCTCTAGGTAGTCAGGGTGCCAAGTAACTCACACTGGTATTATGACCAGAGCACAGGAACAGAGCTCTCACTTGCAGCCACGTATCTTTCATGAGGAATGAACACGAGGACATGACTTCTAAAGATAACAAAATCATGCCATGAGGCCTCTAATAATGCCACAGGGCCAAAGAGCCACCCTGGGATGAGCCCCAGATTTGCAAAAAATTCCCATCAACTTCAGTAGCCTCTTAGAGCTGAGCTAAACTAGAGCAGCACATTATTCTAAGCATTACACTTGCTTATGGTTTCATGTCATGCATGTATTTCCTGTGCTTTAGCTAATGAGGAATTACAGAGCATTCCAGGTTGGAAGGCACCCAAAAGGATTATCAAGTTCAACTCTCAAGTGAATGGCCCATGTGGGGATGAAACCCTTGACCTTCTCACCATGCTCCAAACAACTGAGCTAATCTCAGAATAACATGCATAATTTTGTGTATTATACTTATTTTGTTCCTACCAAGAGATTTGAAATCAGAATATCAGATCAGGAAGTCCATTTGTTAAAGCACCCACGTTTCTTGAAACCTTACCCCCCCAAGCCGCTCAACCCCAGAGCCTCACCAGTTAACATCTGCACAAAGCCCTGCATTTCACATTCTGAACAGACACATGGTACCTGGCTTTTGTGCCACTCACCTCACCAGCACTGCCCCAGCTTCTGAAAGGATCAATCTTCTCATTTGTCAAAGAAGTTCATATGTGCCATGGTAAAAGAAAAGTGTTTTTCCACTATCACCCAACCCATTATCAGACTCCAGAAAAGGATCTGAAGGATTACATGCAAATCCAGACACCAGATACCAGAACCATCTCTTCCCCTGCTGGCACACAAGAATATCCCAGTTACTGTTGTTCTGTGTTACCCTAAGTGTGGGGCTATTAAACCAACTGCAGGCAAAGATGGACTTTAGCAGCATGGTCATTTCAGCACAGTAAGTCACATTCAATGAAGTTTTTTTTTTTTCATTTAAGTTTCTCAGGAAAAAGAAAAAGCAGGATGAAGGCTGATGGTGAAGGAAGAGCTAGAGAGGCCTTGCAGCAGAGATGATAAACAAGGAAGGGATCATTTCTCATGGGTGCACACTTCAGCACTGCAGTTCACAAATAAATGTGAATGCCTTCCCTAGTTATTTTTTTTTAGCCATAACAAGAAATATAACAAGCCCATTACCTGAAAAGGGCTGACAAAATTGTAGAATGGTATAAAGTTCTGTAAGCAGTAAATATCTGTAGAAATAAAGGCCATTCTTGTTAGCATTTCATTGCCACCTCTCACTTGATTAATAAAAAATACAATGCCACAGCAAAGCTACTTATACACAAATCTTATACACCACAAGGTAACGAGGTGGGTGGATGACCCAGCATAATTCTGAGCACAATCATTTACTCCACCAAGCCCTAAAGATTATCCTGCAAGGGACAGCATGAAACTTAATGTTTTAACCATTCAGTTGAATGAAAACTAAGCTCCTAAACAGTATAAATAAGAAAAAAATTCTGAAATCTTTTGCTTAAAAAAATCTGCATCTCAAAGCATTCTGGAAGCAGAATGAAAGGTTGGCACATCAATCACCTGCAAAAGGGAACTTTTCCCATGTGTCCAATGTGTTATGCTTTGAACTTTATTATTGAACACCAAAAAGATTTGGCAGGCTATTCATCAGCATTTGGAAAGTTCCAAGTTATCTCCCTGATAAAATGATTGCATTTTCATGGCACCAATAAATTTAAGAATATACATCTTGGAGAACAAGCATTAAGAGTATTCCTAATTTTATACAGTCGTCTGGATATGAAGTCATGACACCAAGTAATTTTTTACAAGTACTCTGAGAATAACCAGGAGGCTCTATTAACTTTACCACACAGTCTCATTACAACTTTTAAAGTACTCAGCAGAATAAAATGATAGTCACCATGAGCTCTCCAGATCCATGGGATCTTGAAGAGCGAGCGTGGAAACTATTACTGCCTGTAAAAAAAAAAAAAAGAAAGCTAAGGGGATGGAATAAGGAAGGAAATACCTTTTGCAACTTGGAAGCTGTTTGCAGTTTGATGATACATCTCCAGCTCAGATGACAGACAGCATAACATGGCTACTAACTGCAAAATAGCATTCTGTCAAAAAAATCCAGCCCAAAGCTTGGGAAAAGCTTCTCTAATAAAATCCACATACTCCTTATAAATGAAAAGCAACAGAGGTTTTAACTGGATCCAAACTAAACTACAGTTCATGGAAAGCAAGGCTCAGGGTTGCTGGAAAACAACCTATGCTGTAGAAGACTGGACTGCAAAAGACACAGCAAGGGCTTTTCATTGAGGGCACAGCACAAGTTCAGAGCTAACTGGAGTGAGAAACTGAATTTCTGTGCAAATTTGGAGTTAGAGAACTTCTGGGCATTCAGTTGTGATTAAAGGCAAGGCATAACTTCAGGAAGCAGCTATATGGAAGTTTTGTAAATATCTGCAAAGTTCCTTTAAAAGTAAAATTCTACAGCAAAACTGTTGACAGGGAGGCTCATCCTTAGCCCTCCTCCCACAGCTGTAATAAGTTTATTTCATGCTACATGTTTGCCACCATACCAAAGCAAAGGACTGCACAGATGGAAATCCTAATTGCATGGCTATCACTTCACCCATAAAACAATAATTTCAATTCTCTAGATGCATTAAAGAATGTATGCTGCTGACTGCTGAACTCACACTGCTATTCGGGTCAAAAGAAAAAAAATCAACTAGCTACATAGAGATGTCAGAGTAAATCATGGTGAAATATGGCAGGCCTTCTGCACACTTTATGTCTTCCATCAGCTTTCTGCTTTCACTTGACAACACAGTGGAATTTTTGGGAAGCACAGATCAGATATCTTAATCTAGCTGAGATTTCCAACCTTTGCAGCAGGGACTGTCTAATGCAATACATAAGGAGATTGGCATAAAAGCTGAAAGTACATCAGCATAAATCCTACTCCTCCAAGTAAAAATTATGTCATCACCATCATGAAATAGAGATAAACTTCCTAAAATGAACTACTCCATCTTGAGCTGCTGCTGGATTTTTGGTCTTCCTGGAGTGTCCATCTAGGCTGTAAATTCCTCAAAGCAGGAAACATTTCATCTTCAGTAGCAAGAAGAGCCCTCCAAGCACAGTCTGTGTTAGATAATGTACAGTCAGAGCACACATACACACATCACCATACCTAACTAGGTTTACTATTGAATAATAGCCTATTTTGAGCAGGATGCAGCAAAGTTCTAATATTTTCTATGCATCTTCCAAGCAGTGTTTCCAGCAGGACTTCCAAGTAACTGGCTTGCTCCCAGAACTCCTGGGAAACCCTTTCCTTCCTGCAGCATGCCAGAAACCACTGCAGTGTGAGCGTGGATTCCCCACAAAAATAAGCAGACAGGAATGGAGTACAAGAAAAAAAAAAAAAATGAAGAGCAAAGTTCAGAAGACTGCACAGCTACACAGAAACAGTTTTGCAGAATTAATACTTGAAGCACAGATGAAGAGAGTGGAGCTTTAGATGAACTATTTGATCAGCTGAAGGTGAGTCAGATGGGATTTGGGGAATTTTCAGTTTGTCATGGGCATGAGGGTCCAGCATGGACAAAGAGCATTGCCAACAGAGACTGAAACGATCCTGTGTTATATCCCAACAGGTCATTGTATTGGTTCCCTTGTCACCACTTGAAACAGGTCTCTCTCTTCTGGGCTCTCCACACCTCAGACCAGGGCAGCAAGCCATGGAAAAGCTGTGCCAGCAAGAACAAAGTGGCACAGGTCTCTCCCACATCACAGCAAGATCAGGAAAAGACTCGACCAGATCATATCAGCACAGGAGAGGCGTCATTTCTGTCATCATTAACTCATCAGGAAGAATATGAAGCCTTGTGAGAAACTTTGGACCTGCCTTAAGGGGTTTGGGGGTGAACCTAAGGCTCTTGGGGTGCATCAGGATTATTACATTGATGGAGCAGCTGTTTTGGACATGGCCAAATCTCCCAAAGGCACCGAGTTACTGCACAGGAGCCAGGCAGCTGTGCCATGGAAGTGTCCACAGCTCCCAGGCACAGAGCAGGCTGAGGACAGCACTCTGGCCAAAGAGAAAACTCACATTACACCAATGTTTGACATGGCAGAGAATAGAAGAGGGGAAGAAAAGTCTGGGAAAACTCAGACACTGTAGCTGTGTCTGTATAGCTGTGGCTGTAGCTGGAACTCAAGTGACTTTTATCACTCAAAGTTACAGTTCTGGTGGGTCAGAGCTTCCCTGCAAATCAAAACATCTACATTTGGCTGCCTTTTTAGAATTTGCATTTGTTATTGTCCCAGAGCAAACCACAAGGCTGCAGATAAAAAGCTGCCTGTCAGGTCATCAGCCACAACAGGACCAAACCAAATTTCTCATTTGTGTTCCTCAGGTCTCACGCACTTGAGCCCAGCCACAGACCCTAAATTGGCACTGATGGCACCTGGATGTTTGTATATCCAGTCAGCCTTGTGAGTGAGATGCTGTGAGTCCACTGTGAGCACACCCTGCTCACCGAGCTGCACAGGATGTTATGCAGCAGAGATTACATCTAAAGTTCCCTGGCTACTGCCTAACATCAAATCTCACTTTGTTTTCTCCTCTCTTATCATAAATCACCCTTGAAGTGACTGCCAAACGAATGAAAGGGAATGCTAAAAATCATACAGGAGCACTCACCAAGGAAGCCAAACAAATCTCCATTATAATTAGACTAAAGCAAGGACCCACCCAGAACAGTCAGCGATTCCTCCAAGCAGGGCTGCTCCCCCATGCAAAGCATTTCTCAAACAAGGATTTCTTTACATAGGACATCCCAAAAGAGTCAAGTTCCCGGGTTCTTGAACTGCTGTTATTTCACAACACTTACAATTATTTAGACAACTCTTCATGCCCCTGACACTAGATGCAGTCTTTCAGCCTTTCCTTCCAAAGTCAGCTTTTCTTGCTCTTGCATTTTCCAGAAAGAAGCCTCTGGAAACAGCTCCTGTGCTGGCCTGGCATGAAAGTGCAGCTCTCCTTTTAAGCCTTGCCTTTGGCCTAAAGGCTCAGTTCTAATAATATTTGAATGGCATCATTTGTTCAACACCAGTGTAATGCTCACAACTTACAGTAACTGTGTCATAACAGCTCCTCATGGCCCTCTAGCTCAGCCAAAAAAAAAAAAAAAAAAATCAAATATATCTCAAAAATGTAAAATCATATTTATGCATATATACATAAATCCTCTAAAAGTTAAAGTAAAATTACTTCTCAAGCTCAAAGCTGAAAACAGATGGCAAGTACAGCACTGAGCATCTGATAGGGCTTTGGTAGCCCAGCTACAACTGCT